CTTTGGAAACAACCCAAATGCCCAAAAATAGATGACTGGATCAAGAAGATGTGGTACATATATACCATGGAATATTACTCAGCATTCAAAAAAAGATAAACACATGCAATTTGCAGCAACATGGATGGCACTGGAAGGGATCATGCTCAGCGAAATAAGCCAAAAAGAAAAAGAAAAATACCGGATGGTCTCACTCATGGCAGGAATCTAGAAAACTTAAATAAGGGACCAGGAAAATGAATATAAGAAAGTGAAAATCAAAATCAACAAAAAACTATGAACCAGAGACACTTTTTGGGGGTGGGGGGCGGGAGGGGAAGGATTGGGGTCAGAATGGGGCGTTTGCAATTGTATGGGGGAATATAAAAATAAAATTTAATATTTAAAAAAAAAAAAAACCCAAAAAGCTACACCCACCCAAAAAAAAAAAAAAAAAAAAAAAGAAATGAAAACAAATATGTAGCTATGAATAGATTTCTTTTTCCAATTTATAAAGCCTACTTCAAGGCCATCTGAAATAACTAGCCTAGCAGGAAGGCAATGCCCTTTTTCTGATCCTGGCCTGAGAGTTGGTTTCTTTTTGACGGCAAAGTCTTAATGGGAGGTCTTTGAGCAAGGACAGTTTCTGTCTCCCGCAGCCTGAGCTATAATCCAGAGATGGCCCAAATCCTGATTCTATTCTGTCTGGTTCGTTTTTACTTAAAAGAAGGTCAGTTCCTGCCTGGTCTGAACTCTCTTTTGATTCAGGTCCACAAGCCCTTATCTATAATTCTGAAACCCAAAATTCTCTGGAAAAAGAAATATTTTGGTAGCTTATTTCTATGGTGGTAAGACTTGACCTAAATTGATATGAGTTGTTTATAGACTTTACTTGTCCTGCTTAGTGTGAATAATCATACAATTTCACTGCAGAAACAGGAATGTGTTTGATTATGGGGTGCTGCTCCAGATTCAGCTGTGGTGTTATGTACTGTGCCACACAAAACATGCACTGCTAACTTTCTAAATTTCTAAAAATTTTGAATTCTTAAACACATCTGGCTCCAAAGATTTTGGACTTGTGCCTTGTTAAAAGCAGCAAGCTTCAGGCAACTCATCCAAAAATTCTGACTCTTTCCAACTCTTTCTCACATAACTAGAGTCTCAGGAAGAACTTGTATCTGCCCTCCTGGTTCTCTTGGTCAGTGTTTTACCAGCTATACTTCCCCAGCATAAAAAGGATCTGCCTTTCTCCACTTTCTTACTGCCCACTGCCCAACTGCTAAGTGAATGCTACATATTTTGGGTTTCTAGAACAGCTGCATTTCACTCCTGTTTCTAACACTTACACTTTTAGGATAGTCTACACTGCTGTAATAGAGTACCAAAGGCAAAGGCTCAACTTAAATGAAACTTTGTAACATTCTGGAGAATCCATTTCAGATTGGCAAGCAGCTCTCTTCCATGCAGTCATTCAGAGACTCAGGTTGAGAATAGCTCTGTCACCCAAGATTACACTTCTCACCCTTCTAGCTCCAGAACAGGAGGAAAAGCAGTTTTAGGGATCAAGTTTGAAAAAAGCACACTTCACTTTAGGGTGTCCCATTTATGTTGCATGAGGGAGAACTTTATTCATACAGTTACACTGAACTACTGGAGAGATTAAGAAATGGAGTTGGTTAGGACTATTGTCCTTACATTCCAAACCACACTCATTCTGAAACCAGAACCCTGCAGCACACAAGCTTCAGGGCGAGACCAGCTCCATTAGCCTTATGTATCCAACCTTCCAGCACTATCTCCAGGTGCTATTACCTCCACTGTTGTCTGATCAAGCATCCAGTACTACCCATCCCAACCTCCAGTCTGTTGCTGTGGGGTGCTGAGTGTCATCTCAGTGCCCCCATCTATGAGCACCACCAGCTGCCACCATAAGTTGGACCCTGGCCCACTGCTTGCCGTTGTGCCACAAGCTCCAGGCTCTCATTGGCAGAGCAGCACCATCTTGAATGAGCAGCCTTTTGTTTGGGACTGCTGGACACTATCTGGGGTGAGAACGCCAGCCACTTGTAGCCTTAGAAACTCTTTGTTTCCCGTTTGTCAAACAAACCCCATTGTTGTTGTTGCCTGAACCTGAGTGGTCTTACAATTGTGCAATGGGTGAAACCCACAGACAATGACCTGCTCTCTATGGGGCACTCTCCTCAACCCACTACAGCATCCCTATACCAGTTTCAGGAACTCATCCTAAAGGTATGGTCAATCATCAGAAAGGTCTGTTTTTAAAAGAAAACTGATGTCCACGAGGGAATGGATTTTGAAAAAAAACAATTTCAAGTTAATGTAACTGTCCAGGTCAGAAGAGACTTAAAGATCTAAATTAGGGCAGATGAACTAGACAGGGAACAGTTTTTGCTAGAGTTCTTGCCTGGTTTTATTGATGTAATGACAGGAATTTGAAAGACCCAATCAAAAACTCAAACAAAGGGTGTTTATTGTGAATTCCACAATAGGAAAAGGGTGGCAACTGAATGAGTCATATGTTCAGTCTAGAGCAGTGGAAGTCCTGGTTTTATGGGGTTGAGACCAGGGAGAAATGCCAGGGAATCAGGGTGGAGGATCTGTTTCTTACTGGTGATTAACTGACCAGGGTTTTGTGGCTTTCCTATAAGCCTGGGGAATGAACAACAGGTTGACCAAATTCCAGAAGCCTTGTAACATTTTCGGGTGCCGTCCACAAGAATTGGTAATAAAAACAGCTACCATTTAGGAAGAGTTTAAAGTAGACTCAGACTCTGTGCTACCTTCACAACAGCCAAGCAAAAATAGATGTTAGTCTACTAATTCTGCAAATAAAAAGACAAGTTTCAGAGAACTTAAGTCATTTCTCCCAAAATCAGACAACTAAGGAAATGGCTATTCTGGAAGATTCCATTGCGGGACTATCTGACTTGCAAGTCCAAGAAGTAATGCTCAGTTTCTAGCTAAAGTAATTACTTAGAAGATAACTTTTGCTGAAATAAAGGTTTGACAGGAAAAGTAATGGATGTGGTTTTGGACATCCTGTGGATGAGGAGCCTGCAATATAGTAGGTAGGTAGTTCGGCACAAAATACAAACTAACTTTTATTAGTAAATAAACATTTACTAGTAAATGTTTTGTTAGTAAATAAACATTTATTAGTAAATGTCCTTACTAGGATATTTCTTGGAATATTCTGGATACTCACAAAGTAGGTGATAGGCTGGCAAAACAGATTTCAAAAAAGGTCAGGAACGGGCCTCCCCTGGTCAGGAACGGGCCTCCCCTGGTGGCGCAGTGGTTGAGTGCTGGGCTGCGAAGCTGCCCACAGCCTCTGCAGCGCCGGTTCGATCCCCGGCCCCCGAGAGAGTCCCACATGGCGCGACAGAGGACCTCTCCTGCCGCGCCCACTGCTCCCCTCAGCAGTGTGTTTCGTCAGTCGGCCTGTTCTGTTCCCCTCTCTGGCTCTGGTGAGTTCTCTCACCCTCCCGCGCTTCTGACTGTGCCCAGTGTTTGTACAAATAAAGAAGTCTTAAAAAAAAAAAAAGTCAGGAACTCAGGGTGTTCCAGATGGCTAGGCAACGAGAACTAGTTATTCATGCATTCATTTAACAACTAGTTATTGAGTACCTGCTCTGCACCAAGGACTTCTTGGGAGCACCAGGGACACCGCGGTAGATGGACAATACCGTAGAGGGACACAAACTAAATTAAATCCCAAAATATATCAAATCGAAGAAAATAAAACAATAAGGGAATAATAAGTGCCTTGGAGAGAAAAGTTGTCATTTTTAATGGAGTGACTGGCCATAAAACCACTCCGAGAGTTCGTTCTGGCCACTATTGTAGCCAAGTGAGATCTCCATTGTTTCCCCATTTCTGATTATTTTCTCCAGGGTCAGTCTTGGGACCCAGCCTCTAACCGGCAAAGCCAGGGGGTATATGCACATCCTCTTAGTGTCTCTGAATTGCAAAAGAGGGAGAATTTGTCCTTTCACGCCTGTGTGTTAGTAAGCACTACCTTCGGAGAACCCAATAAATATGAACTAACACCCCGCCTGGAGCTTTCTGAGATAAGAGTCCAGTCTTTCCACACCTCCACTGGGTATTCTCTCGGCTCCCAAGCACAGTCTCTACTCAGAGGTGAGCAGTCCTCCACAGAAGGGACACTAAGGGGAGGCCCAGAGGCGGCGACCCACCGTAGGGCACGGAGTGTGGCACCCAACACACGCGGAAACTGTCAACTTTGCCGCCTGCGGCAGAGTCCACGATAATTATTAGCAAGCCCTAGTCTTTCGGATCTCGCCTTGCCTGCAGGTCACCATCCAGACTGCGGGGCTGGACACCAGCATGTCACTGGGGTTGGGATTCACTGGGAAAGGTTTGTGATTCACCCAAGGAGAGCAAAAACTGCTGCTAGCTGCGTTTGTGACACAGGACGCGGTATGGGCTCCCGAGAAAAGTGAGTAGTAGCATTTATTAGTTACGGATACGCACGGGCCCTAACAGCTCAACATCCTTTCACGCGGCGCGCACAGCCAGGAGACCGCCTGCGGCATCAACAACCTAGAGCCGCAGAAAAGGCACCGGCCGCACCCTCTCCATTCTTCTACTTCCGGCACTCCCGCTTCCGCGCACGCGCAGTGCTGGCCCGGGCCTCGCCCTTACCGCCCCACGGGGCTACGGTGGCCCCGATGGGAATAAATTATAAACGCGCTGCTATTCTGCCAATCCTATTTGAAGAGCGTGAGTTTGTTCAAAGTTTAGGAAGGCGGCCGCCAAGACATTTGAGGAAAGGAACAGATAAATGTATGGGGGGGCTGAAGGGGCAATATTTGGGCAGCCATCAGGACAAAGAAAATTCACTCTCCGCCGCGCAATCAGGGGCCAGGAGCGGCCTACTCAGGACGCCGGACACACAGAAGGCATGATCGGGATGCCGGGAGCCCCGCCTTAGGGGTGTGGCCTCCCGCTACCCGGGGCGGGGAGGGGCCGGCTGGCTCCCGGCCACGCCTCTCCATGCCCGAGGCCCTGGACGCCGCACCCTCACTGCGCAGCTGCCTTCTGCACCAGCCGAGCGGAGCTGATCCAGGTGAGTGCGGGCACCTGCGGTCTCTTAGGGGGGCACAGAAGGGAACACTTACGTTCCTGCGCTAGGCACCGCCCACACCTCAACCCCCAGGAGCTGATGAGATTCGCGCGCTCTCTCTCTCCCTTATTATCCGTACATTTCTATCTTACCACTCGTTTGCCCTCCACCTGCCCCCTGCATTTTCCTCTAAGGTTTGGAGTGTCCTAGCGGGGTCCGAGCTCTCAATCTGTTATGCAGGCAGATTCTCAAGGTCAATCCTTCCTCTTCATTTTCTTCCTCTCTCCGCCTCTGCCTGGGCGGTGTAAACCCAGGGTCCCTCCTCCCTGATTCCTCGAGCCCACCGACCTGGCCCCTGCAGCCCTGGTGCACAAGATGGGTGGGCGGGGCGCTGCAGGGGCAGGTGCCCTTGCAGGCCTGATGGGTAACCGCGCTGAAGTGGGGCTGTGTCTGCTGCGGATGCAGATGTGTTGCTAAAGCCCTGGGGAAGAACCTACCGGGGAATTAGTTTGTTTTCCTCCTGCCACATGGAAACGTTTGTCCGTTTGTATTGGAAGCTTTAGTGGGTCATTTCCTACCGCTGCCTTAGAGGAGGAGACACTGCCCGGGAAGAGGTGGAATGGTCAATTAGGATTCTGCCTTAGCTGTCAGAGAATTTCCCTCCTTGTCGGATCGCTGCAGGGAGCCCAGGGTCACTGCGATGGGGCGGCTGCAGGGCGGTGGACCCAGGTGGAGACTCATTGGTGAGTCATTCCCCGAAGTTGTGACTTCTGCTAATACTTTCCTTGGGAGTCACGAGTAGCTTAGGGGACTGTTGAGTGTGGGAAAGGAAGGGCAGGAACTGCAAACTGGTGGGTGGGGCAGAAAGGAGCGATGGGGTTGGGGCCTTAGTCGCTTGTCCTGGAGGAAAGGACCTTTGCTTGCCCTGCGGCGGTACGTATGGTTCTGTGTAGGTGTGGTAGACCTGGGCGTAGTCAGGAGGAATTGCTGCAGCTTTTAGATTTCTGGAAGGGGTTGGGGAGCGGGAGCTAGAGCAAGGACTCTCTTGGGAATCTGCAGCTCACCGGTAGCCTGCATGCAGTTTCCGGGAAGCACCCAAGGATACTGGTCAGAGTTACAGGCTGTTCAATGAATTCAGTAATGAGAGCATAGTATCCAACTCAAGGGATCAAGAATGTTTTTTCTCACAAGAGTTAAATTTAACTGAGATAAATAAAACTAACATCTCAAATCCAAACAAATAATTTCACCCCTGGGAAGAGGTTCTGTTAAGCTTTCCTCCTGACACAGTGTTACAGAAATAGAAAACCTCCTCAAGCAATTTTTTTTAACAGATGTTACTATATATAAAACCCTGGAGATATTGTGACCAGCCTTGAAACTGTACTCCAGAGCCTCCCTTCAATTAAGGAACAAAACTGGAGGGCAGTCTTATTTAGACTTCCTCCTACCATCTAGTTCTGAGGATTCACAATCCTGAAAGGGAATCTCTTAACCTGGAGATTAGCAAAGACATCAAATTACTTGAAAGATGGACTTTACCCCATTATCCAGAGAAAGGTTGGAAAGCCACCAGAGCAATCTAGAATGAAGTAGATGACAGAGCAATCTGTCAAAAAGTAATTTAGTGCCTACTGCAGCTGGCTGTATTTAAATATATTGCTCCCGGTGTTTATATTTAAATACTCTGAATCTAAATTCAGAACACTGTTGCCAGCCACAATGGCTGTGAAGTGTTTGTGCATTGTACATTGTAAACAAACCATTTGCCATTTTTAAAACAATGCTTATTTAGAAGAGTATACTGCTGTTGTTTTAGCAACTGAATTAATTAAAACCACTTATGAGTATACCATCCTTCTGAAAAAGAACAATTTAGGTGTTATCACCAGGTAAGTTAATGTAAATAAAATTCCTGAGTTTACCTCGCTGTCTCTTACAGTGTCTACCTCCCTATGTTTGTTTTGAAAAGAGCAGCAGGAATGAGACAGCCTTCCTAATACATTGGCACGTGCCTTTAAGGATTTCAGTGTTTGGAATCATAGGTCACTCTTCACCCTCTGAGTTCTTTCTAGAGTTCACTTGTTCAATAACCGAAAGATGGAGGCTAATATTTTGGTGACTTTTTTCTCTTTTTTTTTTTTTAATAAGTGATATTTAAATCTCCAGCCTAAGAAATATGACTGATTGTGCCATCACTTCCTCCTAAGTGCAGACAAACAAGAAAGAGTTAGACCTGAGCTTCAGCAGAAGCCAGCTGCCTAGGCATTTTCTCCATTCAAAAATGCTGGAACCCCAATGGGGTTCAACGGCTGCTAAGAATTACAGTCTGCACATATTTCTTATGCTGGAAAATCCAAGTGATGTTAATGTGAGTCATTTGAGATTTGTTTTTCTCTTCTCGAAGTAGGGGGTTAGTTTCCCCAGTTCCTGCGTAATACCAGTGAAGAGGCAGGTTGGGTGGGAATCATGATATAAAAATGGAGTGCCGATTTCTGCGTATACCTGAAACTTTGGAGGAAATTTTTTCCTTCTTTGTATTATCTGCCCTTTTGTCATATCTCAGGGTTGACACTCATTAAAATAAAAGCTCTGTGTGGACCTTTTCCAAGTGTTTTTTCCATCCAATTAGAAAGAGCTCAGGCTTTCATTAGTCACAGACTTGTAGTTAATTATTAGCTTTCTATTCTTGTTAATACATTTTATACCCTGGAGAAGGTCTAGAAAGGTAGAAATGGTTCAGAAGAGGTCAGAAGTGGGCAAATGTGCTCTCTAAACTCATTGAAGAGGCAGTTTAGGCAGGGGGTGGAAGCATAGATTCTGGAGCCTGTGTATAAATCCAGGCTTTCTCAAGGTTAACTGTGTGACCTTGGGCAGATTACTTAACCTCTCTGATGCTCAGTTTCCTCATTTGCAAAGAAGAAGTAATAATACAGGGATGCTGTGAGAATTTAAATGATTTAATACTGGCAAACTACTAGATCAGTTCTTGACACATTGTAAATAATATACATTTAATAAGTATTATTAAAAATAATTGATTTCAGGGCCTCCCTGGTGGCGCAAGAGGTTAAGCACAGCACTATGAAGTTATCCACAGCCACTGTGGCACAAGTTTGATCCCCGGCCAGGGAGGTACCCCACATGGCGCAGCAGACCTCTCCTGCCTTGCCCGCTGCTCCTCTCTGCAGTGTATTTCAGTAGATCTGCCTGTTCTGCTCCCCACTCTGTCTCTGGTGAATCTTCTCACCCACCACACTCTGGCCTGTACCTCAGCTCTTGTCTGCTTAAATAAATAAATCTTTTTAAAAAATAATTGATTTCTCCCACCACTGTTCCTCTGATCTATACCGGTACCCTTTAATGTCTAGACATTTTGGTTTCCTTTCTCTTCCTTGCACAAGGACAGCCCTTTTCTGTCTCCATGCCTACATGCTTGCTGTTTTCTCTACCTGTGTTCTCTCTCACACATCACTGTTTCTGTCCTTCAGAGCCTTTATCCCAATCTGTTATATTCCTGTCCCATGGTCCCCCTAAGTAATCTTCCCCCTACTTGATTATGTATTCTGGAGGGCTGGGACCTTCTTCTGGGTGTTGATGAACATTGCAACCCTGTGCCTCCCCTGGTACTTTGCATTTAGCAGGGCATGAATAAAGAAGTTGTTCCTCCTCGTTCTGAGGAAGTGGCAGGTAGGGACTTATACCATTGAGGGGAGACGTTTTGTCCTGCTGTGACCCTATTGAATCAGTTTCATCGAATGAGTTAGTATAATTTTTATTTTCTTCTGCATCCTGTGGTTTCTTTCCATTCTCTCCCCTGCCTTATGAGTTTGCTGCCTTCACATCATGGAAATAGCCTGTAGGCTGTCCCTGGGATGCAACTGCTGAGAGGCTGGGCTCCAGATGTGCAGCATGGCCCAGCACATCTGGGTAAGGTATCAATACATCAGAGAACTCTGGCCCCTTGAGCCTTATATGTCCAGAATCTATTTGGGAAAGTTTGTCATTGCACCAGCAGGGGGGTTTTTTCTGTCCTCTTATGAATCTATTCTTAGATTCCTGAAGAGCTGAATTGCCATTTTTCCCCAGTGGGGATTCAGTTCCATGCAGGTATGTGTGTGTGCTTAGTGCTTTTCACACAGAAGCCTCCCTGGTGGTGCAAGGGGTTAAGTCTCAGCACTGTGAAGCTATCAGCAGGCACTGGAGCATGAGTTTGATCCCCGGGCAAAGAGTTAGCCCACATGGTGCAGCAGACCTTGCCTGTCTTGCCAGCTGCTCCCCTCAGCAGTGTATTTCAGTAGCTCTGCCCATTCTACTCCCCACTCTGTCTTTGATGAATCCTCTCACCCTCTGTACCTCTGGCCTATACCCCAGTTCTTATATACATAAATAAAAATAAATCTTTAAAAATAATAATAAAAAAAATAAAATAACACCTGAAACTTGCCAAGATGTGGCTATTTAACTATATAAAGCTGAATATATTTGTAAAATAACATTTATCTCTTAAGGGACAACATCCAGAAACAGGTAGATTAATCTCTTTCCAAAGGTCTGCCAGCAACATTGATGAGGAACTGAAAAATATAAAGTACTCAAAAAGAGCTACGTAATGACCTGCCTCTGCTGTTTGCTTCCCTTGACTTAATAATCAAGTCCCAGATAAATAATACTATACCTAGTCAACTGACTTTTCATTTTAGCCCTTGGAGATTTATCTACTGAACATGTATTTGTGGGGAATAGTTATTTTTCCTTCCATGGGCTTCTTTTCCTTCCATTAAATGTCCATGTACTGGTTTTTTTTTTTTCCCCTTTCATTCTAGCTATCATTTGAAACTTTGACACTCCAAAGTATTTGATTTTTTTCATCTCTTTGGAATAGAAGTGACCAGAGCTGGCATCTTAAAAATGTGAGATGGGGGCCTCCCCGGTGGCGCAGCGGTTGAGCGCTGGGTTGCGAAGCTGCCCGCGGCCTCTGTGGCGCCGGTTCGATCCCCGGC